GCCTTCCTGTTTCTGAATCTCTGGCCATCTGTAGAGCTTCTTTGGTCTTGGTAGATAACAGTGTGGTGCTTGTCATATTCAGATCAGCTTACACACTTGGAGCATGGAAGCCAGAGAGTTCAATTTTTTTTATTTTATGAAAAAATAAAATAAAATTTCATAATCAAACAATAGAATAACAGTTGTTTCAATGTGTATCATCATCTTCAAAGTAGTTACTCAGAGTACAAGACATAAAATGAAAAGATTCTTCCAAAAAAAGAAACACATAATAACACAAATCTTTCTTTCCAATGTACCATGATAAACTAGTAGTATAAATGAAACAGAGTTTTGAAACCTGGTCCTGTCACCTGTTAGCCATGTGATTTTGGACAAGTTACCCACCAGACCTTCTCAGTTTTCTCATCTGTGAAATCAGTTCCCACTCCAAAGCATTCGTATAAGGATTATATGAGTCAATGTTTAAAAGTGCTTGAAACAGTAGCTAACCCAAAGGAAGCACTAGGTTTTAATCACATCCATTTACCTGTTACTGGTGTTTCTATCTAACACAGGTAGGGAAGGAAGAAGAAACCATAGAAGAGAGCTTATGATTCACTGAGACGTGAAATGATGCTTCTCTGTTCTCAAGTACGAATTCTGGCCTTTTTAATTAAAAATTCTTATTTATTAATAAATCAATTGCTACTATTTGCAAGTACCCAGTTCAAAAATCTCATAAAGTTGTCCCATCTAGAATCATGCCAGTATTTTCGACATCTCCGTAAGATGAGATCAAGTGAGAAATATGAATTGTGTGACATACATACTTTTTCTTAGGATATACCTATTTTAAACACATACACACACACACACACACACACACACACACACACACGCATTTCTATGTGCTGTGTTTGCATTACCAAACCCTGGAGATCTGTGACATGAGGAGGTGGGAGGACTGGGTTCTTAGAGAGAGAATGCTTTCAATATCTTTCCACATCTTATCTTGAAACAATGTAAAGATATTCCCTACTCAAAATTAAATTTAAAAAGTAAATATTATACAAGTTATAATTTCAATAGAAAACCTTTTAAAATTCAAATTTTCAAAAGTTATGGCAAGAAATGGTTGTTTGTATGCCCAATGAGTCTTATTTTTCCTCCAGTCCTGGAGATTGTGAGTGCAAGGCGAGCACTCCAACACTGATCTCCCTCCCCACCCCTTTTAAACATTTCATTCTGAGATAAGGTCTCACTTAGTTGCCAAGGCAAAAGTCAAATGTGAAATCCTTTCTGCTTCAGCCTGAGTCATTCTTTAAACAAAGAAATTTCCTCTATTACTTTTTAAAAAGTGTTCCATTATTTAAAAATTTTTAAAAGCTAAATTAAAAAATTTAGTTCTTGCTCAAAGACACAAATGTGTTATTATATTCTTACCACATCCATAAATACAATCCATTGACTTTCAACAAAACCCAGACCCTACCAGAAAAAGTTAAATGATTCAAGCCGTGATGTTACTCACTAAAAAATTTGTCAACAGTTACACTTGTTTGGTCTGGCTCTAGGGTTTAGGATGAGAACAAGTGGTTTCAAATGGGTTCTACAGAGCCAGATTCCAGTCCAGTAGAGAAAAGAGCAATTAAAGCCATTCACAAGTGAAGTCAGATGTGGTCGGGAACAGGCACAGGATTGTAAATTTTCACACGTCTTCCTCCAAAGACTGCAACACCTTGGAGAGGTACGTACCACCCCGGGGCTGCACCACAGCATCATCAGGTCTTTTCAAGCCAAACCCCCTTGTGCTGTGAGCTCTCTTTATGGGAAGAGTTAACAGAGACGAGGGATGGTAAGTAGGAGTTGATCATGGAAAAAGAGGGTGGACTGGGCAGGCCTCCGGTGAATTAAGCACTGGCAGCTGACAAGATAACCTGAGTCCCTGTGGTCATGGGTTCCCGTCCGTGCTGAATTTAAAATCTCAAAGTAAGATTCCTTCCATCCTGTGAGCCCCAGAAGCTGTGTCTGCACAGAAACGGTGTCATATTCAGATCTGAAGGAGTCATCCAGAAGAACCGAGACATATATCCTTTCATTTTTAGAGACTCTTCCCAGAAAAGGAATCCAAGCATTTAAAAATGAAGAAAGATGGAAAACTTGCAGCTCCTGAGAGTAAGTCCACAGAAACTCTGTGAGTTTGAGAGTTCCAGGGTGAGAACATTCCAGATCACTTAGACGGTTCAGTGGAAGTTCTGGCCCTTTCCATCAAAGTGAGCAGTTTCCAACATCACTGATGCTGCACTGTGGCACAAGATCAGTTACAAGTTTTGTCCAGGTGAAAACTAGCCATGGCTCAATACTAGCTTTTTAATGTTAATGACTATAAGATTTAATTCTCAAATACTTTCTTGATTGGTCACAGAGAACAAGGCAAAGTTGCAGAACATAAGCTGGTAACCTAGGAACCTGCCAGGATTTTTCCCCTACAGGGGCAGCTCTCTTATAATATGTTGAGCGAAGTTTTAAGTAGCCCATTTATGTTAGCCAGAAGATCATTATTCCCTTGCTTAGCAGCTCCTTAAAATGTCCCTTGGCTGTTTCATGAATTTGGATTTCTATAATGAAGGCTGTAACCTCCTCACAGTCGAAGGGCTGTGGCTTATAAATCTTGGTAAGCTGCTGATACAGCATTACAGACACTGCGCTGCTCAGTAACCTCCAGATGACAGATTTATCGTTAAGATCAGTAAGACAAAGCAGTGTCTGCATGCTGCCGAACCACAGTTGGAGAAAGCCCACAAATAATAATTAAACTCCTCACAGTTCGTGGCCCATCCCATCTTCACTGCACAATTCCCAACTAAGAACACGGATTCTTCCGGTCCCTTGCATCCCATAATCAAGGGTAGTTAGAGCCAGGATGTGAGGGGCCTGGAGCACTGAGAGGGTTACTGAATGTGACTCCTAGGAGAGAGGGCTGTTTCCCTAAATCTTTCATTTGAAGGGGGTGAAACAAAGTGACTTTCAGGGCATTAGCCAACACCAGGGGGCAGGAGAGAAAGCAGAGTGAACAGAAACAAGTTCACTCTCAGGATGGTGTGACAACTGGTGTGACAGTCCTTGGCCCGAAGCATGTGGACTCTATGTGTTAGTTGAAAGTTTTAAAACCCTTTAAAATAATTTCATAAAGTTTTCCATGTTCATTGTAAAAAATTTAAAAGTACAGAGAAACAAAACAATGAAAGCATTTTTATTACTCATAATTTCATCATCTTTAAATAATCAGTTAACATTTTTGTTAAACAGGACCATATTCTATTTTCTATGAATGCACACCACTCTCTCCAAACAAGATCACAACAAATTATTATTGTTGTTACTGTTGTTGAGAGAAGGTCTTAGCCGAGCATGGTGGTGCACGTCTGTAATTCCAACACTCCGGAGGCTGAGGCAGGAGGATCATTGCGAGTTTGAGACCAGCCTGGGCTACAAAGTGAGTTCAAGGCTGGCCTGAACTGCAGAGAGAGAGACCCTGTCTCTAAAAAAAAAAAAAAAAAAAAAAAAAAAAAAAAAAGAAAAAAGAAAAAGAAAAGAGAGAGAGAGAGAGGTCTTGCTACTTTGCTCAGCTTGTTGTCTAACTAGCTAGACCATGTGACCCTCCTACCTTAGCCTCTTGAATAGCTGGGACTTCAGGTATGTACCAGCATGCCCAGCCACGATAAATTCTTATCATTTTAAAGTGCTTCATAGCTGTAACTGGTAATATTCACTTTTAGCTCAAAATGCAATTATGCAGAGAGGAAAAGATTCTACCCAGGGTTCTAGCTTTGGCTCTGATCTAACCAGCCTCAGGCAAGTAGCTCAACTTCTTTAAGTTTTGAATTCCTTAACTGTGAAGAATTTATTATTTGATGCCAATGATACATAAGCCACCTTCCATCTCTGTCCTTCTAATAGTTGTTGGGTAATTAAAGAAAGACCGTGTTGTGCAGTGGTTACTGCCCTAGCATCAGCCAGCTTCTGTCTCAGCTCTACCTATGAGGTGAGGTCCTGGACAGTTCTCTTGATTGCTCAGTGCCTCAGTTTCCCTTTCTATAAGATGGAATTAATGACAGAGGATGGTACCTGGGGTTACTGTGAGCATTAACAAGGGAACATGCAAAAAAACCAAAAAAACAAAACAAAACTAAGAGAAAGAAGGAAGGGAAAAAATAGGTGTACTTATATACACAAGATAGCTAAGATAATTGTAATACTAGTTTCTATTGGTTTATTGAAAGGAACAGTTAAAGATTAACTTTTTTTGATCAGTCTTGCATGCCTATATCTGGCAATCTGGACAACTGCTTTGAAGATAACAATATGTAATGTATCAATTATTGTTGATTTCCTCTCATTTGTTTTAAAATTCTGTATCATTTTTATTGTTTTCTGGCGCTCACGTGCTTTCCTAATGTGTGTTACAGAAGTTGGTAATTCCTGGTAGCCTTTCCCTACTGTACGGTGCATCTGTGGGTTCATTTTAACGAACAGCAACAACACCCCCAAACAGCAAAAGTGCAGCCGGCTTCTGACTGCACAGGCCAGTGTGCGCGCATGCACAAATTTATGAACAATATAAACATTTTGGGTAATATATGCATTTGGATCGAGCCACAGCTCCCCATGCTCAGATTCAATTGTGTACAGACCGACATATTTCCAGCGAACAGACACTCCAACTCCAGAGGACCTGGCGCCGGCCTGGGTGAAGCCTGCCGCGTTTTCTCCCCGCCAGAGCGTTACGTGCCTGGCGTCACTCTCCCAGGGTTCCAGCCCGCCCGGGAATCCTTGGCGCCCCACCCTGGGGATCTAGCGTGCTCTCGGTACACTCAGCCGCGCGGAGATCACGTTCGCGGGATGAGGGCTGGCGCCGCAGTTGGGCGCCCATTGGTTGCGACATCCGGCCCGCCGCCCGGGATTGGCCCAAGGGCTCGGTCCACGTGGCTCGGCGCTGATAAGCCTCCTTTCTGGCTCAGACTCGCAGCCAGCGCGCGCGGCCACAGAAGGGGTGCAGCGGGGAGCTGAGGGCTGCGAACTTGCGCAGGCAGCGGGGTGCCGGCTCTCACGGTCCGCCGCCTCCTCTGTGCCTGATGAGTTGCACCAGGTAGGTATACTGCCACTTTGCGCGCAGGACAGATGGAAATGTGCAGCTTCGGGGAAGTTGAGGGGCGTTCTCCTGTTGTCTCTGCAAAAGAGACCCCAGGGCAGGGCGACGGTTGAATCTGGCACTCCGGAGGCCTTGGAGGTGTGGATTTTTTTTACTGTATTTCTTAGGGAGAGTCTGTTTTGGCAATCAGCATCCTGAATAAGAAACGTGAGTCAGCTTTAGTTCAGATTCCCTCATTGATGCTACTGTTATCTTTGGGTGCTGCCCAAGTGCCCCAGGTACTCAGGCAGCTTACCTTGTGACAGCACCGTGACATTTCTGGGTAGGTGGTTTTTCTTGGAGGCAAAAATTATAGGGCGATATTTGCATTCCTTCTTTCTCCACTCTGCACTCATTTGCTCTCCTCCACTCTTATCATGGATTGTCACAGCAAAGACAGTCTCAGAATTTGAACACAAAGCCAGGGATGGAGGCGCATGCCTATAATCCCAGCA